ATATTAATATAATAAAATAATAATATTTTAATAAAGATATTTAAAATATATTAATTAATACCTTTTAAAATATAATATAATACTATTACTTTAATAAATAATTAATATAATTTATAATATTTTTTATTTCAATAGAATGTACTAATCTTAATATTTTTATTAATAAAATTATAGAAATAATATTTTAATAATAATAATAAAGTATTCTAATATTTTAAAAAAACAATAATATTATGTTTTTTTATGATAAATAATATTATTTATTGTATTTAATATTTGTACCGTAAAACGTTTCCAGAAAATATAATTCATTTTAAGGAAAATATTTTTCAAAAAATGTTTTAAGTGATACAAAAGGACCCTAAATTTAATTAGTTGTGTCTATATAGGATGTATGAGTTGTCAATGATTAAGAAAATTTATGAACAATTACTACTTTATAATCACTCATATTATTAAAAAGAAGAATTGTTTTCTTTGTAAAATGAAATTATTGTATTTTATGCGTTGAAGCATTCAATGTAAAATTAAATAATTAATAACCCTTTCTAATACTACTTATCACGAGATTATTACTTTCTTCTTAAAATAAAATAACTAATTATTTAACTTTTACATCCAAAATAGACACTCCTCTTTTAAGTCCACCATTCGAGTTCATCCAATTAGGGACAAACATAATATTTTATATTAAAAGGTAAACTTGAATTTATAAAATTTTAAATAGGCAAATTTAAACTTATAGAATTCTAGAGGAAAAAAAAAGATTTTTAATAGAAAAATACATTAAAAAATCTAAAATATCTAGTAAATTTAAATTCATGGGGTGATCGCCCCATCTGTCCTTATCATAGTCTATCCTGGATCCAACTACTCATAAATTTAGCTATTTCAATTAAATTACTATCTAATTAATAAAATTTAGTTTTTGAAAATGTCAATATTATTATAAAAAACATTATTTAAATATAAATTAAGTTTAGATAAGCAAAAATTTTTGTATATATAATCCATTACATGGAGTCAATAATAGCGAAGCACCAGCGGATGGTGCAACAGTAAGAAACGTGCAGAGCTTCTATTAT